GATTGCTGTACCGCTCTTACTTAGCAGAGTTTTTAGGCTATTTTGTCCTGCAAAGCAGTCGCTTGAATGAAGCATGTTTGAAGTAATGTCTTTGAAGCTGCTCAGCTAATAAAAGGACTCATGAACACAAGAGCCTGGACCCCATTCTCGGTGATCAAGGTACTGTATTGAACGGTACTATTTTCGCAACTCTAAGGACTTCAGTAGATAAAAAGTTTCCACCAAATGACTGCAGGTAAAATGTGTGTGTACTCTGCTGGCTGTCATGTAAAAGATGCAGCTTGTCCCCTCTCCTCATGCTGTCAGCCCTTATTCAACATTAGCTATCAAATCTTCTCTGCTTAAATATTCATGTAAATTTGCAGAAACAGCATGAAGAGTTTCCACACTCTCTTATGTGATAGTAAAGAGAAAATACTTTAAGAGATTGTTTCACAACTAATTGCAGGGTTGTGTTTTTGGCAAACATGTATACAATTTCTAAAAATTTTGCTAGAAAGTAGACTTAAGTTGGTGGGGGTTTTTGGTTTTGTTTTTTTTTTTTTTCATTATTTTTTAAGTGGACAGCAACTTCTCTAAGAATCAAAACTAGATTATATCCAAAATCCAGTCAGCACAAGTCTAGTATGTCATGTTGAAGCAAAGTTAGAGCTAGATAGGTGAAAAAATAGCCTTCCACAGTATTTTTCTTAATTAAGTTCTGCTTTTCAGGCTGATGTGCTATCTCATGTTGAATGAAGAGTGTAGATGCTGACTAAGCTTTCCACTTGTTTAAAAGTACTGTAGTAGTATGAATTCAGTATAAGCAGTTTTCATGCTGTGATTTCAATTTATAGGCAGAAATGCATAGTATCATACATTACCTATATTAAAAACATGCAGTGTTAAATTTGGTTGTATTAGTGCAATGACAAAGAGGTATTCAAGTGGCACATGTGCAGGTTTAAGGGTGATTTTAACTGGTTGCATGCATCAACCAGTAGGGCTTGCACTAGTGCAAACAAACCTGGATATAATTGAGAATGCTACGTCTGGTTTTGGATCACAAAAATAAATGTTATTTCTGTTAAAAGCAGCCGCAACTTTTATTTTATAAGACCAAAAATGAAGCTCCCCCCACCCACCCCCCATCATACACACATATATAGAAAAGGCAAGACTGTTGTAACCATTCAAGTGAATGATATGGTGGGCAAACCTCCAGGACAGTCATCTCCTCAATACGTTACATCTCACTCACCACAGGTAACTCCACTCAAGTACTACAGTCTGGTTTGTTAAAATCTATACACACACACACAGGCATTTGCTCGCTCGCACGCACGCACCCTCTATATGCATCATCTCAGGTCACTTTACTGCATAATTAAAATTAACAATAAAGGTAATGAAAACATCGCAATGATACTCTTACAGCAACAGAGGTCTGAGGCACTCAGGGCAGAGAAGACTTTTCTGGCAAATTTGGTATTTGGTACTACACACGAGTCCAGTTCTATGAAGTGCTGACCCCTTTCCCCCACCTAAATTCTGCAGTGCCAAGGGGAGCCGAGGGTACGCAGCACCTCACGCGCTTGGGTCTAGTGTGGCAACAAATTCACCAGGCACCTTGGAAAAGGTGTATTTTATACCCATGATTGTATGATTTTATGTCTGTATTCGTTTAGCTATTTCTTGCATTACAGTGGTGTAAGACTTAAGTCTGCAATGGGGTCTGAAACTATTTTCGTTACAATTCAGAAGAAAAAAAATTAAATTCCCTCAGCGGAGACACCAAAGATAATGGAAAGGAAGTGGGCACGGAAAAGAAAGGGTAGAGAGAAGAGAGCTTAACCAATCCTCACTCCTGAACGTGACAGTTTCCAGCTCGTTGTGACCCATTAACAGAAATGAAGGGGTATAGATACTAACATTGCCCACCCTATACCCAATCTGAGGAAAAACCATCAGTTTTCATAGCTGCCCCCCTAAAACTTTCCAAAAGCGTGAAACACTTAACTTGGGGAGGGGGGGAGAAAATGACCCGTTTAAAAATTTCCGAAAGAAAATGAACACAGCATTGAAGGTGTTTCATTTTCTCACACTCAGACTTGTTTTGAGATATACACTCATTTCACTGTAAGCCTTGCAAATCCAATCCCCCCACAGCTACTGTGGATGTACCCTTAGAAAACGCCCCCCGTTAACAGACGCAGGGATCCCATGAAGCACGGGATCTTTTTGGTTCTCGTTTCATTCCTTTACCCAGGCAAAGCTTCACCCAGCTTTTGGAGCAGGAGACTGCCTTGCAAATAACCGCTTCACCCAGAAGCAGCTTATTCCAGGGAGCTGCATATTAAGTCAGAATTTATTCATTTTCCCTGTTAGGAAGCCCAAACTATCAATTCTCCAGGGAGAGAAACAAGTCCTGCCATTTACACAGTGTGTCACCTACAGTCGCAATCACCACAGAAGCCACCAGCAGAGAGATGGGGACAGAATTAAAGGTAAGGGCAGCCTCTTCTCGGCGCCGCGCGTGTCTTTCTCCCTTCTGCCCCCTTCTCAACCCATAAAACAAACAAGGCCCAGCCCATTAGAACAGTATCTGCAGAAGCAGGAGCAAGTCTTTGGAACTAGAAATGCTTAAAATCTCAGGTGCCACCCACATACCAAGAGTGACAGGGCACACTGAAGTGGTGAAAAAAAAAAAACCTGGAATCCCAATATATCAAAGTCCCAGTGGGGAAAGATTACCCCCACTTATCTAGCTAATATTATGGCAGCAACAGAAGCAATTGTGGGGCTAATTGGAAGAAAGGTGCTAAAGAGATAACTGAGGAAAAAAGAAAAATATAGCATGAGTGCTAGGAGGAGGAAAGCAGGAAATTCTTTAAATTCTTCTCTGCTTTTCCAGACATTGGTTCAGGTTCTTCAAGATACTCCTCTTATCTACAATCACTGAGAACAAAGTAAATGATGAACTCTCTCTATTCTGTACTTTTAAAAAACTGCATAGTACAGAGGGAAAAAAAAAAAAACCAACCCAAACATATGTATCATTCAGATCCACCTGCTCAGTCTGGGCTATCACTGGGACATGAAATGGGGACGAGTGCTATCCAGCCGCCGGGTCAAGATCTCACAGCCTGTATCGGTGACCAGAAGCGTGTGTTCAAACTGGGCAGATCTCTTTCCATCTCTTGTAACTGCAGTCCAACCATCAGGCCACGTTTCATCTTGCCAACCACCTAAAAAAAAAA